TCATGATAAGAGTTGGGAGGGCCGGAAGTCAGAGACAGGATGGGGCTCAGGTTTACAGGGCTTAGGGTCCAGCTTTTGGGCTAAGGAAAGTCCCTTAAGAAGTAGTGAAAACTTAGATAAGAATAGAGGGTTCCAGGAGAAACTGGAACTTGATACAGTCATAACGCTTCACTCCGCACACCAGGCAGTACCCCCATATGCAGCCCCCAACAGTACAAGGATTGTGCCAGACCTTCCTTGGGTAAGGAGCCCCCTGACCAACTAGCACTACTGAGGGATATTGGAGAATTACACGTGCCCAACCCATTTCCCCAAACGGAACCCCCGACCTCTCCCCGCCCCGTGACTTCCCCCTCTCCTGGGATCCCCCAACTTCCTTTCGTGATCTCTATAAGCCCGGCGATATACCTCACCCTTGCCCTGGCCCCTGCATTCCTGTGGCCTCTCCCCTTTAGACAGCATGATAAGGAAGGATACCGCCTGCCTCTGCCCCAGCCCCTGCGCCAGCACACGCTACGAAAAGGAGCTCTCCATGGTCCGGATTCCCAGCCGCGCTTCAGCCAGCTACCTGGCCCAGAAATTCAACCGAAGCAAGCAGTACATAGCGTGAGTCACTCCCCGGCCTCCCAAAAAACGCGCACAAGTGCACGTGGGGACCATCTCCTTCCCAACATATATACCTGGAGACCGCCCCTACACACGTGTCCAACCTACTAGCGTACACACACCAGAAGAAATTCCTACAACATAGCCCTCCCTGCCTCCAATATTCTCCCCGACTCTGATCCCACTACTTACGCAAATAAACATCTAGGGACAGATTTCCAGTCCAGATGGGTGGGAGACAAAGAGGGATAGATCACCTGTGGAATCCTGCTCTCCAACACACACATATACACACACCTGGGGATACTCTCCCAACACAAAACTGCTCATGAAAATTGAGGGGTAAGGTGTGAGGCACAGTGACAGGCAACCTAGGACACACATATACACTTAGAGTTACTCCTCCAACATACACTCACATACACACCTGGGGACTGGTATCCAATACACATGGGTTCAGTTCTAGCTAGGTCGCAGGCCAAGCCCTATTAGGTCATTGTTTGGGCCCTAATTGTCTCAGAATGAATGTAAATAGCAATTGGTTTTTGTTTTGGCCGGGGCCTTCCCCTCCCAGATCTTTTTTTTTTTTAATAGACCATTCTTTGCCTCATTTCTTATTAGCCTTAATCAGTGAATAGGTTTTGCCCCAGTCAAACAGAGACCAGTTAAAGACCTTAACTTGAAAAGACCAAAGTTCCCCACTGCATCCTGAGCCACCTCCAGTCACCCTGATCTGTATCTTGCCACTGGACCCAGATGGCTCTGAAGGACAGAGTGAGGCTAGTGAATTGACACAGCCGTCCCTCACTCAAACCCAATTCATTTGCATGTCATAACACTACCTCCCTGATGTCATGGGTCCTCTTCAAGAATGAAGGACAAGGGGCAGCTAGGTGGCACAGTGGATAGAGCACCAGCCCTGAAGTCAGGAGGACCTGAGTTCAAATCCGGCCTCAGACCAAACACTTGACGCTTACTAGCTGCGTGACCCTGGGCAAGTCACTTAACCCCAGTTGCCTAAAATTAAAAAAAAAAGGAAAAAAAGAGAATGAAGGACAAACAGCAGCAGTTCAATTGTAGGGTGGGGGTGGAGATGACTGGATACACCTGGGCAACACTTCCTTCCAGCAGCAGCAACAACACACACCCCCCCCACACACACACACACCCTCCTGGTCTGGCCTCACTCACCCCTCTCCAGATGCTTGGGATTGCCTGGAGGGAGGGAGAAGTCCCTGATTCTGATCAAGGGGAAAAGAATCTAGGTGTCACTTACTTGGTCACTTCTTCCTTTAGGGATAATGTTCTGGTGCTAGACATCTTCTTCGAGGCACTTAATTATGAGACTGTGGAACAGAAGAAAGCCTATGAAGTGGCCGATCTGTTGGGTGAGGGATGAGACTTGGGGAGTGGGAACAGAATCTAGACTCCAGAAATGGTAAGGGTCTTGAAAATGGATGGGGCCTGGGGAAAAGGTTGGGCTAAATAAGTCTCATCAGGTCAAGGTGAGGCTGGCACTGTCTGAAAGACAGAGGAGTGAGGGCAGGATGACTGTACTGGTAACTGTTCCCTCCCAGGTGATATTGGAGGCCAGATGGGGCTATTTGTTGGTGCCAGTCTGCTGACCATTCTGGAGATCTTGGACTATCTCTTTGAGGTGGGTTGGGAGCCCAATATAAGTTCTGGGAGGAACTGGGATGGGTTCTAGGGAGCTGACAGAGAACATTGAGCCAAAGATTTATAGGTATCCCACACCATTTCTCTCCTGTCTTCTCAGGTTTTCCAAGACAGGGTTCTTGGCTACTTCCAAAATAGGAGGAGGTCACAGAAGAGGCCCAGGGACAGCCTGGTAATACTACTACTAATAATTACTCACATTTTTCCTAGTGTTCTAAGTTTACAGAAGAATTTTCTCTCAATAAACCCATGAGGCAGGTAGGGCAAGTATCATTTATTGCCCAAACTTTAGGAAGAAACCAAGGCTCAGAAAAGGTAGGTAACTTGTCCATAGTAGAAGTTAATTAGTCATGATGTGAAACCAGCCCTTCTAGCTTCAAGTCTAGTGCACTTTTCACCCATCCTGCCCTGAGCATACACCCATCTTCATACAAACACATATACACATTTTGGCCTGTTAAGCTGCCCACTTCCTAGTTTCCAGAATGGAGCTCATCCCAGTCTACCCTTCAAATTCCTCCACCCAGTCAAGAGCTGGAGAAAAATCCTTGAGCTATGTGCAGGTCTGGATTTAGGAGAACTGGGGTGCAGGAAAGACAATGAATTGGACCTAAGAAGCTGGCTCTTCAGCAATTGGCATCAGGCAGGGGCAATCTTGGGGGAGTGAGGCAGGAGATAAGAGAGGTGAAATGTAAAATGCTCCAGCCTGGAAACCAAAAACCTGGTAAAGTCTTGTCTCAGGCACTTACCAGCTTTGTGACCTGGGTCAAGACTTTTCATTCCTCCAGGTCTCAGTTTCCTCATTAGTAAAATGAGAGGGTTAAACCAGATGATCTCTAAGACCCCTTTTGGCTCTGACAGTCAGTCTCTTTCCAATATCTGGCTACCATTCCTGTTCACATCTTCCCCAATATCTATCCCCAATAGCTCCAACGAGGAACTGACATCCACCACAGCCCAGGACCCCACCTCACCGCTCTCCCCAGGTAATGAGAGATCACCCCATCCCACCCTCCTGAACCCCTGCTCAAGACAAGGGGACCCAGACTGGTGCCTCTCCTTCCTTTCCAAGGAAATATGTGAGCAAGGGGAAACCAATGAGAGAAGCCTGAGCTGGAAGTGGGGGTGAGGGCCAGGCGGTGTTTGCAAATGTTAAGTCATCTGATCCTAACTGATCTCCAGATGTGTTGTCTTACCCCCCTCCTAGGCCTCCCACTCCACCCTGTGCTGTCACCAGGACTGTTTCTACTTCACACCGGACCTGCTACCTGGTCACTCGCCTCTAGACTCAGGTCCAATCTGTTGTACCCTTGGGGCTCCATGCCCTGCATGCACCTCGCCTGTTAGCCCCTCTCCAAATAAAGCTCCAGACTGACATGAGACCAGGGTGGTTGTTTGAGATGAGTGACTATTTCACTGGAGACTAAGGATGAGATGGGAAACTGGCTTAAGCCTTATATATGAGGAGAGTACCCATTTCAGGGATGAGGAGGAAGACCATTTTGTTCCAAAATATCTCTCAGTGTTCTGACACACTGCCTGAAATTCTACCATCAAAGCTTAATGGCTTTAGTCTTCCTCTTCCTCCTACCACTCCCAACCTAGGATGAGGTAACACATTACACTTACTACAAATGGAAGGAGAAGGGAGAACTTTCTGAATCCAATAGGCTACACCTTGGTCATCCCACCAAGTGCTTGGGGGTGAGAAATGCGCACCTTCCTCTTGTTTCTTACTAAAAGTACCAAGTATCCTCTCCTCTGGCTACTTTTTCTCTGATTTGGAAGTTGGAGCTTATCAGCCCTAGAATTAGGTGCTGGAAAACAGAGCTGAGGTGCAACTAGGTGGTGCAGTAGATAGAGCACCAGCCCTGGAGTCTGGAAGACCTAAATTCAAATCCGGCCTCAGACATTAACTAGCTGCATGACCCTGGGCAAGTCATTGAACCCCGACTGCAAGGGAAGAAAGAAGGAAGGAAGGAAGGAAGGAAGGAAGGAAGGAAGGAAGGAAGGAAGAAAACAGCTCAGAAGCTGGCTATAATTCGTCACTTCTTCCCCAAAGCTTGATGCCAGAAATTCCAGGCAGTATCTCCTCTTCTTGCCTTACAGTCTCCCTAGCAGAAGCCTCTTACACCCATGATGACTCTAATCAAAATAATGGGGGTGGGCATGGGAGGCAGGGTCTTAGCCTCTTGGTGCTGCAAACCAATCAGCCTATCTCATTATCCAATGACAATAGGGTGGGAGGTATGTCTGTGTGTTGGGGGGAGAATTAATAGGAGGGTTTTCATATTGCAGATGTATCCTGTCCATATACACATTTCTACAGCATTTTATGCACATTTCTGTAACACTTCTAAGGCATACAAGGTACTTTTTGCACAAGTGCAATTATTGTTATCATTTCAGTTTTTATAGATAAGGAAACTGAGACCTTGAAAAGTTAAGGTTAATTGTTAAAAGTTAATTGTCCACAGTTACATAGCTGGAAAGTATCCCAGCTGAGATTTGCAGTCCATTTCTCTTTCTGTCAAACTATTGTACTTCTTCAGTTTTTCGTGAGTTGATCAAAACTAGGAAAGTTTTGATATTGAGGATGTGGAGCCTAAAAAATCGGGAGTGCTGCTAGAAAAGGGTATCATGGTAGATGGCTCTGGAAGATGTGAGAGGAACAAAGAAATGGATAGGGACAGGATCTCCCTCTACCAATGCAGCTTGGCACATTCTCTGAAACTTAGTCTTAGCTGCCTACACCCTAGAACATTAAAAGGTTAAGTGACTCACCCACAGTCATATGCAGCTATGCTTACATCTAGACCCAAGGCTAGGGCTGATGGGGGTTGGGTTATGGGCAGGGGAAATGGAAGTGGGATGTTGTGGGTCTTAGGAAAGAATGGTTGTGAGATCTGGGGCAAGGTTCTCCCACCCCATGACTCCAGCTCTCCAAAGATGGAAGAAAAAATATTAAGCTGTCCCCAGCTTCTGTCAGGTCTGGAGTTAAGAGATATGGGGTGGGTGAGGAGGAAGGCAGAAGGCAATCCGGTACTTAGAACAAAAAGCTTGGTACAGATCATGAGCTCTTTGAGGGCAGGGACTCTTTTGTGTCTTTGAATACCCAGTGCTTAGCACAGTGCCTGGCACCTAGTGGGTGCTTAACAAATGTTTATTGACTGACCGAAGAGAGAAGGAAGAGCATTGGACAACGAGACTGGAGACCTGGGTTCCAATCTTAGCGCTGCTATTTAATAAAATGATCCACTATCCTGTCTTGGAGGGTTTTGCCCCATTTTTAAATACTTAGTCCTAAGCACCCCCTGAATGAGAGAGAGAACTTGCATCGGATACTCTGAAAATGGAAAAATAACCCATCCTCTTCCCAAACCACTATCAGACTTCAGTGAGCCATGTTGTGCTCATAGCTGGCCTCTGTAACACAAAAATACTCTGGGGAAAAAATGAAAAAGAATAAAAACAAGAAATCTAGGAAGCTAGACTGCCGCATTTCCACTCAGACTTGGCCGTGGATTCCTGTCAGCATGCCAAAGGGCTCTACTTACTAGATACCCCAGGGCTTCCCTGGCAATGCTGGCTAGCAGTAGTTGGAGGGCTATGTCTGATATTTTGTTCTCAAGGCCCTCCCATCTTGGGCCATGTTGTGGAGTGAATGGGAGAGGGTAGCCTTACTATTTATTAATAAATGAGAACTCTCATTTTCTAATCCTAACCCCACCCTACTCCCAACTAGTACTAGATCAGGATGGGCCAGTCCATCCCCCAGCCTTCAGGCAGAAGTCAAGCATTAACCTTTGCTCTCCAGTCAGGTTCCAGAGAAACCTGGAAGTCAAAGAGACCTGAGGAAGCAGCCAGGCCAACAAATACTGGAACAGGGAGCACCCTCTGTAAAACACCCCCAGCACAAGTGGCCCGCCTAAGACCTCCAGGAAAGCATGTGGAGAGTTTGACCTCCTGAGGCAGCCCATATTCCATTTCTGGCTGGGCCTAATTGGTTAGGAAGTGTTGACGACCCAAAATTGGACTCTACTTTCCATCCAGTGCTCTGACTTCTGCCCTCTAGTGGGCAGAGCAGGACCAGCTAATCCCTCTTCCGAACGACAGATTTCACTGGATTCCTAAGAACTGGACACGTGGGCTAAAGAAGCTGGGATATGAGAGTGAGTGGGTGAAGACAATGAGTGGTGATGTCAGTAAGTGGAGACGGAGGTCACACAATCTTCATACCACCTCTGATACCCATGTCTTAAAACAGAAAGACACATACACCTTCCCTCATGACATAAGCCTAGATTGTGGGAAAGAAGCCAATTTATGAAATTAAATAAAGTCCATACACAAGGGTGAGAAGCACAGGAAGTGAGGGGACACGGGCTCCGGCTGGCATCCATCCTTCACACCCCTGACCCCACCACGGCTGACCCCAGACATCTGGCCCAAGTAGCAGAGCTTAAGTGCATAGCACCATCCCGACCCCTACCCCTTTTCCAGTGGGGTGGGGGAGACTGGGGAAGGGCCAGGGGAGAAGAGAGGACAAAGGAGCCTCAAAACCCTTAGCTTCCAGGGTCTATTTCTCCTGCCTCAACACACGAGGTCCCTGGGTAGGTAGGGAACAGGGTGGGCCAGCAAGGCGAGAGTGCGTTGAGCAGCTCCCAATCTGAGGGCCTAGAGGAGGGGTCAAGGATAGTGGGCTTGGTTCTCTGGACAAGGAAAGGGAAAAGGAGACTCCTGGCTAAGGAGGGCAGAAGTCGGAGAAGTAGGGATGCTGCAAAGCTTCTTCCGCTGAGATGCGCTGAACCGGGTTACACTTGAGCAGATTCTGAGGGAGAGGGAAAAATTGGGATGGGATTAGACAGGATGGGGACTGTCTCCAGGTCCTCTGTGAATCATCACCTTTCCCCGCTCCCAACTCCCAGAGCTTCCTGAGCTTTATAGTTCCCAACCATCCCTTCCTCCAGTACTAAGAAGTCCATGCACGCCTCCATTCTTCTGTTCCCCCCCCCACCAACCATGGTCAACCTAGTCCCTCTGTCCTCTCTGCCCCAAAACATCCCCTCTCTGGGCCATTTACCTGCAATAGGTCCCTCCCTGTGGCATTGAGCTTGGGTACAACATTGACAAGTGACGTTGTTGCCGGATACATAGGGTAAGGCTAGGAAAGGGAAACAGGGACTCAGCTATACGGCACGGGCAACATCTGGGGGAATTAGTGGGGTGGGACGGGAGGGAATCTGTATTAAGACGAATAGGGGTTGGGCTGGGGAACAGAAGTATGAGGGTGCCAGACATGGGTCACAGAAGTAGTAAGGACTATGGGAACCAGAAAAGGAAGGCTATGGCTAGAGAAGAAGGCTCAGTTCTCATCTCTCAAATGGTCCTTTAAAGCTATGTCTTTCTCTGAACCCACACCTACCTTATAATCTGGAAGCTTGGTCATGGCAGGCCACTGTTCTTCAGTTGGTGTCCCCAACAGCGTGGGAGCTGAAGTTAAGGGTCACTCAAGGTGATAAGAATGGGGAGAGGGCTATTAAGCCTGAGACTTGGCATCCTCACTTCATCCTCTACTACCTACCCCACACCACACATATGTGAGCCCTTAGGAAAAAAGTACGTGTGCATGCATGCCTACGCGTGTGTGCGTGTGCGTGTGTGTCTGTGTGTGTGCGTGTGTACACACTAGCCCTCTTCCCCCATCCCAATTGGCTGCATTCCTGATCATCTCTGTTAAATTTCCCTTCTAGCAATTTCCATGCCTCTCCAGAACACTCCTCCATCCTCATACTTGATACTCACCACCTACATTCTAGTCAGGGCAAGCAGGGCAGAGATTAATTGCCCCATTTCATCGATGAGCCTTAGTTCAAGTTGAATGACTTGCCCAAAATCCCAAAGTCAAGACTTCCAGAGCGGTGTTCTTTCCAGAGACCACAATGCTTATGTCTTTGATCTCCCCTCGCCTTTCTGTCCCTACTGACCAAGGTCCTCAGGCCTCTGCATCCATTCTGCCATGACTCACCCTGAGTGATAGATACCTCTAGCCTTTCTTCTTCCCTCTCCTCCCTCCTTAATTCTTCCAGCACAGAATGATACTTTGACCCAGCTCTTCCACAGTTAGGAGTTCTTTACCACTTTCAACCCCAGCCCTGAAATCTACTTCATTTCTGCCACATCAGTTAGCACTTTCTTCGCTTCCAAGTTAGAAACCCTCTACCTCCACCTGGAATAGCATCTCTTCTGCCCCTGCCTCCAGGAAGCTCTACTGGCATAACCCCAGGCCCTGTGCCTTCGACTACTGCCACTCTTACTCTGTTCTACCAGAGGTGCAGAACTG